CAAATCCCTAGTGTATAAGGAGATCAAGTGGTATGGATTGGGAAGATACAACATGTAGGATATCATCAGAAATTGATGATAAGATCAAATGTTGCATTATCATAGCCAAGAAAATATATTGAGACAAGAGCCTCAACAACCATGATATATAATAGACTATAAGTTACTATAAGGCCAAAGTTAGAATATAATATGAGTTTATATGAGTAAAATAAAATAACAAATAAGATTAACTTATGTAAAAATAAGCTTAACTTACATCATACCTGGTATATATTGAAACTTAAGTTATGATTCAACTGCTATATGCTTACCTAGATACAAGTCAATCTTAAGCTAAGCTTATACTTCGTGTAACTTAAGTTTAAGGCAATATACTCTATAATAGTATAATATTGGGCAAAACTTAAGTCTTGATTATCACTTGAGTGATATGATGGTCTAGACCACCTAACTTAAGTTAAGCTAATAAATTAGTTGCTGAGGAAACATTGCTCTCATATCCGGGATCCCCATAGCTGCAAAACAAAGATTAGTCTACCACAAACAACAGGACAGAACACTTACTAGGCTGCCCTAAACTTGGCCCGATGAGGGTCTATGAGATCTTGAGTTATGCTTGGAGTTTGTAAAATATGAACATGGTTGTCGCAAGATTTGCAGAAGAATCTACTATTATCAATATCCTCTAGCAACTCCTGGAGTGCTACTTAGAGCCAACATGTCTACAAAAACAAAGTTGTGAAGTCGGGCTTAAATGGCCAATTCTCAGCTATGCAGCTAGGAAAGTTGTCTACTCAAGCATGTGGCGCAAACAGAAGTCCATCTTCTGAAATGGGATGTCACAATGGTGAGGGCTGTTAAGAAGTGTCAGGGGAAACCCTGATGCCGTCACTTGATCCCATCAAGCGCCCGCGTCTCCGCTCGCGTCTCCACGTCTCCGCTCGTGTTTCCGTGTCTCCACACCCTGACGCTCTCCCTCCACTGCCCGCACCACATCCCACATCCAGTAATCCCTAGTCTTCGACTTCCCTGGCCACCCCTTTCCGGGAGCCTCTCCGGAGTCACCATCAGGGATCACTAATGCCATCGGAGACCTCTCCGGATGTGGATGCACCACTTCCCTCTAGACCTTGAGCCTATGGCCTGCCACCCTCTCTGGGCTGTCACTTATCAAGGTCTCCCTACGATCTCTACCTGCTGGACCTCTTAGGTGTCTCCAACCTATGTCAGCGTTCGGGCTTACGTTCGGATGGCTGAGCCTCGCCATGGCTCCGCTTCCCACTCCGCCACCACGGCCCCCGTCATCGGGTCTCCCTTTGGGTGAGGCCTACTGCTGTTAAGGCTCGTGCCTACCGCAGCGCCCCCAGGCTGCACGCCCTCACACCCACCTCTCTGGAGACGTCCGGGGACGTCTCCGAGTGACCCTCCTGTCGCTACCCTCCAGTGGTCATGGCTGGCCGCCATTCCCATTGGTCCTCTCCGACACTCCCCGGCCCTTGGGCTAGACCAGACTCCTTCCCTTTCCGCTCCACGCCTTCCCTTTCCGATTCCGGTTGTCACGGTCACGGTCACAAGCGGAGACGCTCAGAGGCAGCCTGGACCTCCCGAAGCCCTTCTTAGGCCTTCTAAGGATGCCTGGGCTCCTCCCTTGGCATCACGGTCCCAAACCTGCCTCTCCGGAGCTTCGAGGGCTACTCGACACTCACCTAGGGTCCATTAGCGACACCTGACTTCTCCCATGCGTCGTTCGTCGCTATGCAGTCACTCTATCATTACTCCGGTCACTAGTATATAGTAGTGCACCTGAGCAGAGGGCTCCTTGGCTTGTTCTCTAAGGATTCCCCCTCTGCTCAGGTGAGTCTGTAGCGTCCCTTCCTGTTGTAGTAGTTCACTAAGGATTCCCCCTCTGCTCAGGACTCTGATTTCGAGCCTCGCGAGGTTGCCCTTACAAGAAGAGGAAATGGGAATGACGCCAAAAGCAGATGTTGAAGCATTTGCTATAATGCCGGAGATAAAACTGTTGGTAACCATTTGCAAGCAGAGGACACCAGCTGCCATAGGTTCAAGCTTGTCTGCGACAGTTTCCGGTTCATCAAATGAAAGAGTCAAAAGATCTATTGAGGAAGGAAGCGGAGACGGCATGGGGGAAAGATGGTTGGAAGGTAGTGGAATGGAGGAGACAATCAAATTCTTCACTTAAAAGCAGAGTCCGATGTGCCTGTTCATAGTCTTGACCGAGCACCACCATAATAAGGGCGACTTGGACACCTGTTTAGCCCATAAAGCACTGTACATTATCAGTGGTATGGCGCCGGGGTGGCACTGATAAGGCTCAGTTTTTCCAGAATGCCCTGAGGGCTGAATAATTCTCAGGTAGAGGGTTGAATAATGTTGAGTTTCTAAGAGAATTTTCGCACTAAGTCCAGAATGTAGGGTTGAATAAAGCTGAATAATTACTACACAGGTTATATACACCAAGTCCCCCAAAGTCATGCTATGTGACATGTGTGACATATCCTCCCAAAAAGGAATATTTTGCCAATAGACACCTGAGCACACCTGTGTCACACTTTCCAGTATCTATAAGAGTGACAAGGACAACAAATTTCCAAAATAGGAAATTTCATCAGAGGATGTCACAGATTATCACAAAATGAAAGTTATATAATTTAACTAAACAAATAACTTTTATCAAGTGACTTATAGTGGCCTCTGGAACAATAACTTAATGAATAAAGGTGGAAGTAGAAAGTGGTTGGCATGTAGTTGGATCAACATTATTTCCATCCTGCTGGAAATAGTTATTGATGGCCCTTGAGACTTAGCCAAGCCCGATTGTTCCAAAACTAATTGAAATAACATAAGAGAAGAACCAAAAAAACAACCAAAAGAACATACTATCCAGGGTGTCCATTGAACTTGGTGTTGTGTTCACAACAAAGAATTGCGTTCACATAAAACAGGCTTGTGCTGGGGTCATCAAGAAGCGGCTCAACAACATTAGCAATAATGATAGAGCTGACCGAATACAATGCCAGATAGTCTATTGTTTCTGGCCAATTCTTGTGCGCCCCAATGGCAGCACTTCTGCTTCTTCCCAATCTTGCTGGCAATAGGGCGTTTCACGATGGCGTTTTTCGATGTAGATTCTTGATGATGTTTTTTCTCAAATACATCATTTTTTTTGGTTGTTTTTCAAAAGGAGCTCCTGAGCTGCTTTTGAAAAAATTACCTGCAGTTTTTAAGCTTGTTTTTTTGGCTATTTGCCGTTGCCAGGCCCCTAGATGTAAAATTTTCCACCTGACGATGTGCTGCTTGTCTCCTCCTCCTACCATATAGCTCAGCGCAAGAAGAAGGCTGTCGCCGATGACAGCAACGGTACTGTCGTAGACAAGAAGCACAAGGCTGGCATCCCCTGGTCTGAGAACCCAGTGTGGCTCAGCTGCGCCATCAAATACCTCTGGGACAACCCTGACTTCCGTCACAAGCTGTTCAGCAATTCGAAGCAGGAAGCAAAGCAGGAGAAATGGGTCAAGGCACCAACAGGCAAGCATGGTGCGCTGCAGTCCTACAGTCAGTGGCCGAGTACGTCTACATTGGGGAGGGGACAGAGGGTGTGGCACAGGAGTGGAAGGACAAGTATCTCAAGAACCTGCCACAATTTACCAAGTTGTTGCAGCAGCCCTCCTTGTATGTCAAGTTGCTCAAGGTAACGGGCAATGGGGTCCTGCCAGGTGGCCAGTATGAGAACAAAATTGGTGTGTGTATAAACACCTTTTGTTGAGCTCTGCTGACGTCAACTCGAGAGCAAATCCATGCCGAATTCCCGCACTAGAACAAGCTTTATTGATATCAATATCTCCACCAATTCTTTATGGATTCAAATGATTTTTCCACTAGTAGGTAGCCATATTGTTCTTATATGATCTAATAAGAGTATGATGTCATATCTTTAGGCCATACTGTTATACCACTTTTCTGTAGTTATTCTGTCTCAAATTCAATCAGTCACAATGACTTGATATCTGAGTAAGGAATGCATGGATAATCATTATCCAATTTGTCTCATAGTCTGATGGATCTGTGTAATAGCTTGGGAAGACACTTATATTTTTTAGAGATCCTATTGTATAGATATCATATATCCTCTTATCTCAATCTCCTAATAACTCACTCAGAGATAAGGAATCCCCAATGAAATAAAGGTAGGAAGCATACAGTAGGCCCCCCTAAGAGATGGTCTGCCTCCCATAAGTTTCCATCTATGTAATCTCTTGTTCTTCTCTATTATACACATGATATTAACAATACAGCTATGATCTGCTAGTTGATTATGGATGAAAGTAAGTCAAGTTCAGTCCATGAGGTATATAGATATGCGCATATACTCTGATTGACGAGTCCGTATCCTTGGCTGGTGGGGCAAATATTCTACAACATGTGCATGCAGTACTGGTTTACATGAATATGTGAAGGAGCGGCTCAGAGCTTGTGAATTCTTGCCAGAGGATGGAGTGATCCACTCTGGTGCACACTCCGTGGAGAAATATAGTGTATGTGTTGGATTCCCAAGAACCAGAGGAAACATCTGGAGATGAACGTCAGTGGTGAGACTAGCGCAGATGAAGAGCATAATCCACATCATTGCGATATTGCTCAACGAGCTGTATCATAAGCCAAATCTGTCATATACTAAAAAGTTTTTTTTTACACCCGGGGACCCCTCCCCTCTCCCCTACCCCATGTGCCTGATAAGAATCTTGAACCCTCTTGGAATGTACCTAGAGATTATAGTTGAATATATTCGCATATTTTGCATCTGAATATGATTATACTATACTAAAAATATATTATTGTGTTGGAGCTCTGAATATGATATGATTATAATATATTATGCCCTCAAAATAATATAATTGTATTTTGCCAGCACTAACAGAAAGAAGAATGTTCAAGTTTGCAAGCCAGTTATACCAGTACATATACATAAATGGTTAATGTTAGTATCCCATAGTTGCCTGTGGTTGACGAATATCTAGATCTCTCATCCTTAATTGTGCCATCTCCACTCTGAGTACTTCTGCGGCCATTTGCTGGGAGGAGCGCTCCAGGAAGGGTATTGCCTTGCTCCACAGCGCCTGAGCTTCCTCATCGCGATCAGATTCCCGTGCAATCTTTCCTAGTGCCTCCAAAGTCTCTCCCTGTCCACGAAAGACGTTCATTTGCGCATATCCCTCCAACGCGACGGTGTAGAGCGCACTTGCAGTGTCCGGATCGCGCCGCCGCAGGAAGATGTCGCCAATGTACTGCAGCGCCTTAAGCAGCGGGAGCTTGCGGTGCGACTTGACCCCCTGTGCGAGCAGCACATACGTCCACGCGTCCGCCCAGCCCGCGCCCCAGCGCGCCGAGTTGGCGAGCCGTTCCAGACAGTAGCTCGTGATCTCGCCGTCCTCGCCGATCGCGCCACGGAAGCACCCCTCCAGCAGCCGTTGTGCCTCCGCATAGTGCCCTTCCCGCAGCTCCAGGTCGCCCTGTACCATGTCGCAGATCGGCCCGCCCTTGCTAAACCCGATTGCTGCGAACCCCTCCCGCGCGGCGCTTACGTTCGCGTCCACCGCGGCCCGCGCGGCGCCGAGCGGCACGTCCAGCTCCGCGAGGTTCAACTGCGCCATCGCATGGATAAACGGGTCGTCGCGCCCGCTCACCCTCTCCCAGATGGCTTGCTGGGTCTCGCGCGCGGCGGTATAGTCCGACTGCTCCTTGCGAACCTCCGCCAAGGAGCCGAGAATGCCGATTTCGACCTCACCGCCGGCAAGGCCGCACAGCGCGAGCAGATGACGTGCCCGTTCGTTCTGCGAGACGCTGGCGGGGAAGAGCCCCAGCGAGTGGCACGCCATGGATTCAGTGTGAAGGCTGCGGGCTTCGCGGTACAGGTCTGTCGTCGCCACAGCAAGTGCCTGCGCGGCCACGGCGGCTTGCCGGCATTCGAGCAGTTGACCTGTCATCCAGTGCACATTCGCGATAGAGTCCAGCGCGTCGCACTCGCGCATCGTGTTCCCGCCGGAGACCGCCGTACTCCGGCACAGCTCGTACATCTTGAGCGCCTTGGCCGGGCTGTGGTCGTGGTACTGATAGTAGGAGCCGATCGCGATGTATAGCCAGCCTGTAACCCTCCGATGAGCCGGAGCGGCCGGAAATGTACATGTCTGACTCACATTTGACCGCGGTGTTGTCGAAATGCACGCAATCGTCCAGCGTGCGCTGGAAAACCGCCTCGGCATCGGGGACCGGGTGATACCGCCACATCTGGATGAACCGCGTGTAGTACAGTACCGACAGATAATGGTTCGGTGGGTCCATCTGTGCCAATATTCCGGGAATCCGCTTCATCAGCACGAGTTCTCCTTTGCCTGCCGAGAGAGCGAACATGTCGAGCACACACGTCGACTCGATGGCGGCCCCGACAACCGCAGGATCCGCGGCCGTCAGCCCCTGGCTCAGCACGCTGTGCACGTTCCCGAAATTGGCAGTGATGCGCGCAACAACGCCAGTCTGCCCGAGCGTGCCTCGATGGGCGTGGTAGATCTGCAGCAGCGCCTGGTAGTGCCGGCGGAGCGGGCCGACGAGGCCGGCCCCCGGCGGCGCCACCCGGTGCATGTACTCCCGGATCGGGACGAGCACCTGCAGCCGGCCCTGGTCGCCGACATAGGCCAGCGCCGTCCGCAGCAGCGCCGATTTCGCGGCCAAGATGTTAGAGGCCAGCACCAACTCGCTCTGCGCAAGGTCAGCATCCGCGAGCCCGTCTGGCAGGATGCTCAGGATGCTGAGCAGCTCCCGGGCCCCCGGCTGCGCCGCCATCCGCGGGCTGGCCAGCGACAATGCAATCGACATGTCGAGATTGGACCGTTTGTCAATCCCGTCAGAGAGCAGCCCCGTGTTCTCGTGCTCCCATCGATCGAGAATCGTCTTGCAGTCTCCCTCGTCGGCGACAAGATGCGCAAGGAGCGTCAGGGCCAGTGGCATGTTGTCCGATAACTCTAATATGGAGGGAAGGTATTCGTCTTCCTCGACTGAGTCGGCAATGTCCCGGAACGTCTCGTATGCGGCCTCGGGCGAGAGCCGTTTCAGCGGCGGTAAGAACGGGCGGGTCCATTGGACTTGCGCCGGGCGCTCGGCTCCGCGCATAGTCACCTGCACCAGAATGAATACTCATCCAAAGACAAAGTAACCGGCTCACCAACAACGCCACATGCGGGATTCCTGCCAGCAGTCCCAGCAAGCCCTCCACCTCCGCCCGCCCCTCCGCCGGCTCCCACGCGGTCTCGAGGTTATCCAACACGAGCAACGTTTTCGGCGCCTTTTCGAGATGTTTCACTACGAACCGCGTCCGGTCTCGTGCCTGCATGCCCCCGCGCACCCCCAGATACTCTGCCAACACCGCCGCCAGCTCGATCTTAGTGGCCGCGGCATCGCAGGGGACGAAGTGCCGGCGGTCGCCGAATGCGTCAATGATGTCCCGGTCATGCAGCACGGCTTTGGCAAGACTTGTCTTGCCCATGCCGCCCGTACCGAGGATCGCAATGCGCGGAGAGGAGGCGGTGAACAACGACAGGATGGCGGCCATCTCGGCAGACCGCCCATGGAATATCTTGGGCTGCGACGGGAGTAGCGTCAGGGAACGCGAGCTTCTGCAAATAAAATGTTAGGTTCTGGAGAAAATAGTGATGGCCAAGTCCGGTTCGGTTTGTGCCAAAACCCGCATTCGGCGAACCTGAACGCCGAACCCCGGTTCGATCCGGCCCCAAACCGGCCTTGTTATGGTAAAAAAGGCCGAACCTGGCCGAACCCGAGCCCCGGTTCGGTCCGGTTAAGTTCCGGTTCAAACCGAAAACCCGAGCCGAACCTGGCCATCACTAGCAAAAAAAACAGTCTGTGAACAGAAGACACACGTGTTATGCATGTCCTTCATTATCTACCCTGCGATTAGCGTCACTGGGCCCGGATACAATTCACTCAGCTCACCTCGGAGACCGCATCCCACCCCGGGCCGGCGCCATCTTCATCGTCGCCGGCCTGGACGTCCCGCACAAGGCGCATGACCTCCTCATGCTCCGCCTGTGCCTCGCCATCCAGCGCGGCCACGTCCGTCAGCAGGTCGGAGCGTTCCAGCTGCCAGTGCCACGTCAACTTGACTTCACCCACATGTCATGACGCACCAAGAAGAAATCCACCCCCGCCTGCAGCCCCGCGCGGCACTCCTTCAACAGCCCCTGCGTCTCGCTGGTGCGGAAAATCTGCCGGAACCGCCCGCGCTCCTGCTGTGCCTCGAGAAAGTGGTGCACCTTATGCACCGTCCTAATAATCCTTAGGCATCAGAATGAAAAGGACATGATTCAGAGGGACACACTCTACCAGCCGGCCGAGCTGCTCCAGGGCCGCGGGCGATAGCACCGGCCCCAAGTACTCATGCGCAACCCCACCCGGCCCGTCGATCTTAGTCGGGGCGCCAGCCGGGCGTATATGCAGCGCGAGAACGGCACGCAGCAGCTGATTAGTGCTCTCGAGAAGCTCTGCACACTCGCCTTTGTTCCGCCTGATGTTCTGCGCCAGGAATAAGACGGGGAGGGCCACAGGAATAGCAAAGCGTTACCTGCCCGGAGGACACCACCGCCTTCACCGTAACGCAGATCACATCGAGAAATGGCGTGCCGACGTTCTTGCCCAGCACGTCCAGCACTTCGGCGGTGGCCGCTACGTGGCGCAGCGCGCTGTCCAGCGGAATGGGGCCTCTGCGGGGGGTGGGCGGCATGGTGGTCAAGGGGAGGAAAGAGTGGCAGCGAAGCGAAGGGGATGCCCTTGATAAGGTCGCACATTGGCTCCCCGGATCCGGACCAACTTCCATGCTGTTGCACGCGATTCCGCAGACAGACAGGCGATCTCAGGCTATGTGCTTATTCGCGTCTGAGGCGTGGACATGAATATTCGCCTCAAGTAACCAGTCGCTTTACGGCCGACGTAAGTGGGTATCGTCCAAGCAGTATCAGTATGCACATACCTAATCATTTCACGCGTTTTTGAGGCTTGGGCCGGCGGCAGCAACGCTCGGAGGGTGTTCGAAGCACTCGTTGGCCGAAGCGTTCGCCAGGGCCATCTGCCAGGAAACCATTTTCGCTGCCAATCGCTATCACAACGGACTCGGACGTCCGTCCCCGTAACCTCTCCGTTTATAGTTTCGATGCGCACATGACCAACTCAAACTTGTTATTCATGCAATATCCTGCACAGATGGTTCTCATTAACAGGACTAAAAATGATATTGAAGAAAGCATACTGACATTTACCCCATCCAACGAGCGTTCTAGCATCAGCAGTCAGTCGTTCTCCATCCAAAAAGATGAAGCTGGAACGAATATCTTCAATGGGCCTCCAGCGAAATGAAATAGGCTCGCCTTCAACCTGCCCCATCCGATTCTTTTGCACAAACTCCTCCGCCCTCTCCCAAAAGTCCCGCTCGCCCCTCAGGGCATGGCCCTCCCACTCCGCCCAAGCAGCACTCCCACCCTCATACGTCCCGCCCAACAAACGGACATCGCTCACCGGCGTGGTGCGATACCATCGTGTCCGGTCTGCCACGTGCCACCGTGACTTGGGCCACAAGAGCACAAGCACGACTAGCTGGGAGTTGCCCGCGAGCATCCGCTCGAAGGGCCCCCAGGCATAGCCCGACGGACTGCTGAACGACAAATGCGTGAGCGAGGGGAGCCCCACGAGCGCATCTATCAGGTCGGCCGGGGCGTCAAACAGGTCCAGATGGGTGGTATTTCGCAGCAGCGGGTGGTCCGGACGAAGGTTCCCGATAGTTTCCGAAGGCGCGGTGTTGTCCGAGTCCTGGTCCTCGAAGAGCGCAGAGAGCGGGCCGGTGAGCCGCCGTAGCCCTGACATCGCGCTGAGCAGGGGTACAAGCGCGGGGTGTGCACTGCCGCTCGTTATCGCCAGGTCGACAATGCCGTCGCAGACGCGGAAAAAGCGCTGGAGGCTGTCGCGCTCCACGACCAGCCCCGCATCGAGACAGACGAAACGGACGGTGGCGCGGAGGAAGTCGGGGCGTGTGTCAAGCAGCGCAAACACGCGTCTGATGAGGGCATTGTCGGTGAAATGGAGCGCGCGGTATTGCAGCGGCTCGAGCCTACGCGTGTGGTCAGGGGAAGCTGAGCGGCAAAGCAGATGACGCACCACTCCAACGTACGCTTAGACACGCATACGAGTGCTAGGATGCACTCCGGGTGGTACGCCACAGCGGTCTCGAAGATCTCGCGCTCGAGTTCTGGCGGGAAGATGGGGTCCATGGAAGTCGGGAAGAAGAAAATCTCATGTGACGGCATGTGATGCGGTCAAATGACACGGTCCGTTGATCGGCTCAACCCAAGACCTTATGCACCAGATATGAGATCATACTCATATCACACTGGGATTTCAGCTAAAAAATGGTCTCCTCAGCAGGATTTATATATCAGAAATAGTATAGCCTTTTTTTGCAGCTTTGATGGATATATAATAAAAGTTGCACAAATTGTATCTGATTTACAAGAAATCAAGTTCCATATTGGGGGTATCAAATATAGCATATATTATGCCCTCTTCCTAACCATGTTTTGTAGACAATAAGTGCACCTCACTCAAACCCAAATATTTGTCAAAAAAAATGATATCACATTATTATTACCCCAATTTGTCACATTGCAGGGTGATTTGTCATATATAATGGCAATTTGTACTATATTAGGTGCACTTTGGTGCTGTCCCTGATTTTTGATATATATGGTCCTATATCTTTATCTTGTAGCATATTTGGTGCATTTATTTGGTACAAATCATAGCCCCAAAATTGTCAGCTGATATTGGCTTAGAGTTAAGTCCAATCTGATAACTTAATATATGTCTCAATCTCTTACAAATCAAGTCTACTTTCCTACAGCGTTATTTGCTATTTTTCCAAGCTACTAAGATATACATGTTTTTTGTCCATTATTTATCATAAATAAATCCTACTTTGGGGCCCATTTTTTGGCAGAAACCCTAGTGTGTATATATCAAAATTGGCTTCAGCACCAGGAGATAAGCGACAACTTATTAATAATATCTATTATCCCCAGTGAAAGTGAAAGAGGTCCCGTCCCATTCTTCAAGTTGTTGTTTCTCATAACAAACTTGAACTTGAATGCCTACGCAGATGGATTGCGACTGCAACGGCCCCGGCACTAATCACAAACACGACCGCACGCCCAACAAAGCGCCGAACCATCGCGTTTACTGCGCCGTACAGCTTCTCGCCGAACATCGCCTCGTCGTTCGTGCGCGGGAATTCACCGGCGGGCACCGGCTTGCCAAGGAACTTGCATAACGGCGCCCAGCCGTCGCCCATCGCGTACTCGAGCAGGCGCTCCTTCGGGACGAGCGCGCGCACGTGCTCGTAATGCCGGTGGAAATGCTCTTGTGCAACGGCCTTGGTGACGTCCGCCGGCGCAGCGCCGACCATGTGCCGAACCAGGACACGTTGCATCGGAACCGTTCGGCCGAAGCCTTGTGGGTCGACCCAGGCGCCTACCGCCAGGGCCCGGCTGTTAAGTGCCGTGAGGATCGTCGAAGAGAAGGAGCGCCACCATTTGTCCGCGTCGCGCACCGTCAGCACGACTTTGGCGTCTGGGTAGGCCAAGGGGGGGCCCAACATTCAAATTATATACATAGGGCTGAATGTTTTTTTTTCTGGGCCTTCAGACCCCCCTCCCCCCCCCCTCCTGCCTTATATAGTAATGATCTCCCACGAAAACGTGACCGATGCGATCAAAATCGCATCAAAATGATCGATAGAGGTCTTGAAAATGGAAAATGTGATTAAATTAAATTGTAACTAGGCTATTATAATGTTCCTATGCCTTTAAATGAACTTTCATATAAAGTTGTATTGCTTCTTGCATCATGATGATATGTTGATGCTATCAAAGACTGTGACAAGTTTAGTCACTTCACCAAAAAAACTGGGTTTCACTGCATTCAAAGGTATCAAATGGCATTTAACATGGAAGATCTACATATGAAAGGCCTCCTAAGGCCTCCTAAGTACCTCTTGAAGCATCCCTACACCAAACACAAAAGTTTTTTTTCTAGGCTCTGGACCCCCCCCTGCCCCATAGCCGTGATAGGCATCTTGCGCCCCCCTTGGGGTAGGCGGCGATAAGCTCTTCGGCGAAGACGATGCTCGGCGCGTCCGTTGAGGCCTGTGTGTTACATAAAATTACGTGAACCACCAGACCGGATAACACGCACCGCGCAGTGGCCCAGGACCCAGTCGAACTCCGCGCGCCCATACGGCGTTCCCTTGCCCTCGAATTTGGCCTCCAGCGCCTCTTTCCACAGGTCCGCGTCCATCGGGGTTCTGCATGACGCCCATCATGTGGTGCACGTCGTGGTAGCCAAGGGTCTCCAGCGCAGCATGCATCGCTAGCGGGGCATCAGCGGTGTTTCCTTAGCGAGGATTCGAAGACGCACATGCCGTGCCCGTGCGCGGGAAGCCGAGGACGAGGACCTGCATTGGCACCGTTCGCGCTGCCCCGCGACGGTCGGTCCACGTGCGGAGCTCGTATTTTGTCGACTTCGACTCGGACATGAGAGGTGGGAGAGGGAAAGAGGGGTGAAGATTTCCTTCCGGATGCCTGACATGATGCATTTATATAACAAAATGAATCAATGTCAAGGTATCTCTCGGCCCGCCCACGGAATCCCACGCCACTCATATGCCTCAACTGACCTCGGCACAACAACGAGGCGTCGATATCGAAACTACTTATGTTTGTAGAGTACGTGATATATGAAGAATGGTATTGACGCTGGTAAACAGTACATGATACAAATTTTACAATTGTTAATCGGTGTTGTCGAAATTTTCCTGGTTAAATTCCACGCTCAAGGGGGGTTCAAGTCTCGAATCATGGATATAGGGTCGGAAAGTTTTTTTCCGACCCCTGGGGGACCCCCCCCTCCCCCCCTCCTGCCATATCGGGTAATATGTTCCCACGATTTGCATCATGTGACCACTGATGCGATCAAAAAGTGGGATAAAAAATTCAATCTTTGTGAAACTTTTTTTTGGAAATTTTTTTATATATGCATATATGTGTATGTGTATGTATGTATGTACCTGGAACCTTCAAACACATATGGCAGGCTATATCAGCTCTTCAACATGTTCACCTCTCATCAATTACCTGTCAATAGACCTATGACAGAGTGGGCTATCCAAGCTCATGGGCCTGAAAGTATATAGATATAAGTATGAGAGTTGTGAACTATAGAATTTGGAGTATATACACTATATTTTCAGTGGCTTTACACCCATATAAGGCCTAAATCTTTCATATACAAAAAGTTTTTTTTACCCCCCGGGGACCCCCCCCCCCTCCCCCCTACCCCATGTGCCTGATAAGGATCTTGAACCCCCCTTGTCCACGCTGACCAATTTCTTTTCAAACAACGCAGGCAGAGCAGTGCGGATTTTGGTCAGGACAATGTCCTGCGGCTCTGATAGCGCCTCGTCTGTTCCATAGTACCCTTTTTGCTTTGCTGGTACGACTACAATATCAAGTTGGATAGGCTTCGGGCCGTGCTCCAGGACCACACGCTGCAGCGTCTCTGAGGCTTGTGCGAGTCGCATCTTGAGCGGCGGTGGACGCTGTATGATGCGATGGCCCAGATGCCGCTTAGGCTGCCAATTTTTATCGACAATCGGCTCCAGGAGCGGTGTCCACGACTGGGCGGTCGACG